ATCAACTTTCATGGATATCTTGTATTTCAATAACTACTGCTAAATTAATGGCAGCATGTATTACGTTTTATTTGAATCCAATAATCTTTTAAGGTGAATATCTGAATAAATTATTTACATAATTATGTTTAATAACGGTGATATATCAATTGTATCAATTTTCAGTAAACTTGTTGGTCACGATGATAGCATTATTTTGACTGGTTGCCTGGTTTTTGTCCACAATTGCATATTTGAAAGCGAGCCTCGCAGGTATTTTCCTTATGACCAATTTAATGGAATATTTCAGGGATACGCGGTATTCTGTTGATATGTGTTTTAATTAGAAAGTCTTTAGTAACATCGGGTTCAGGGATGTGCATTTTGCAAAGGCTTTTGGACAGAGCTGAGACTCTCCTTGAAGATGAAAGCACACAGAACTTTGAGTTAATGTATGAACTGGCTTTTATTCAGAAATATAATTTTTTACTTAAGGAAATTTTACAAGGCACCATTTATCATTTAGATATGCTATTTTCGCTCGAATAATGGAGTCTGATCTTTTTCCACTACTGTTTGATTCATTGAATTCACCATTATCATTGGGGTATGATATATTTATAGAATGTCGCGTCATTTTATATTGGTTGTCGGGTTAGTATAGCCGGTGGTCATTAAGTTATTTAAATACCAATCACTTTAATTTTAGACAATCGCTAGCAAGACGTCAAATCACTCTTCTCAAACTCCTTGATTCCAAACTTTTTTCCTCAGATTCTTCAAATATTTCTCTTTATTTATGCACTCATCTCTTACAAGTTTTTGATACAATATGCCCACAAGTAATTTTTTCAATGCAACAAGCCAATATTGTCGATCGAGAAAATCAGCCACAAGAAATTGAAGATACAAGTATATTGTATACTGGATTAGTATTGTTATTACAATGTTTTGGAAAATTAAGTCAAGATGGAGATGATAGAATACGAGAATGCCTATTTAAAGGAGGAATTATCGCCTCAAGTATTTGTAAGGCTTACTATAACATAGACCTTTGTTTGTTCATAATTTTATTATGGCATTAACTCATTTTAATATAGCTCTTTTGGCTCAAGCTGATAAAACGTTTCCGCGTGTAACCAAAGCCGCATCGTCACCGTCTTTGCAGCAAGGAATCTCGGAATTTGCATATATTAAAAGAGATATTATTAGGGTGATTGGAAACATGGCATATGATAATTGCTCTGTTCAAGACGAGGTTTTTAGCTTACTATTGGTAAAAAAAATTGTAGTATGTAAGCTTGGGCTAAAATAATTATTATGTCTAGGTGCGCAGGTTAGGAGGGATTTCACTAGTTCTGAACCAATGCAATATTGACGATAATAATCCGTGTAAGTAATGAAATAATCGAATATTTACAAAATTATGAGAAACGAATTTAATTAAGTTTTCAAATTTCAGATATTCGTGAACATGCTATATTTGCACTTCGTAATTTGCTAATTAACAATTCTGAAAATCAAAAGCTTGTTAAAGAGCTTGAACCAATTGCACCAGTTCAAAATGACGTTCTGAGTGAGATCGGCATTAGAACTGAGCTAGGAAATGATGGTAAAATAAAGTTGACAACTAATTCAAATAAAACGTAATACATGCTGCCATTAATTTAGCAGTAGTTATTGAAATACAAGATATCCATGAAAGTTGAT